ATATGTATATATATAATATATAAAACCCGCACAGTTCCACACACATGCACGCAAATGCACGCAGTCCAGCGCATTCAAACGCGCACCCCATTCATACTCACTGAGACAGTTTTCCATGTCTCCTAGACATTCTTAGATCTAAAAGTACTTAACCCCACCCCCTAAGACCATCCCCGTATGCAGACGCCAGAAATGGGTGCTATTTTAGGAAAAGTCCAAGTGTGTTTATAAAGATTGCCATTTTTATTTAATGTCCACGCCTTGTCGACTCAGCTGCTAAGATCATATAGGAGATCGGCTGCCTATTGGGGCACTCCTGGATTGAAAAGGATACAACATCTCAATCTCAGTAGGCATACTCAATCAAATAACTCCATCATATGAGAATCGACCCCACATCTTCTGCGTGCAAAGACAAAAAGCTTATAAAATCATTACATCGCAAATTTCAGTCGTCAGTTTTTTTTAGAGCTAGTAAAAAATGCACTATGTTATCGTTAGTGGTTCTTTTATTCGTTTTTGTTCTTTAACAGTATTTGTTTTTATTTTTTACTGTCCTGTCGACAAAAATATGCCACGAAGACACCACAAGCGGTAATGAAAAGGGGACATAAGCATGCAAGTGCTCAAGAAACAACAAACTGCCCCCCACCCCAAAGAGAGAGAGAGAGAGAGAGAGAGAGAGAGAGAGAGAGAGAGAGAGGCGGTTTGCACTTGGGTTTTGTTACAATTTCATACACCACCTTGAGAAATTGAGAGTAAGAGGCAGGCTGACTTCAACTCTACTGTCCATGCCAACTCGTACTGAGAAGGATAAAACATCCCAGGAGAAAACTGAGAAACTCGAAAAAGACTTCTCCCCACACAAGGACTTTGCTTCATTCAAGGTTTTCCGTGCAACGGCGAAGTGCCTTACCGTTACACTTTAGACGCCGGTATTCAGTCTGTTGTACCCTGTCCAAAAGGTATGACGTGTAACATGGTACTTTATGATACTTTATCACGTCTCAATGGTTCAATTCAAGAAACCCTTATATCATTTTTTTTTTCTAAAATCGACTTCTTTTTTTTTCACGTGGCCGCAGATTTTTCTCCGTCACATATCTTATCGATTTGGTGACCAGACTGTAAATTGTGACCAAGAGAAGTCTGCGGATACGGGGAAGCAACAAAAAATTGACTTTAAAAAATGTGGTATACAGGTTTCTTGAACTGAACCGTCGATCTATTTCCTAGAATATGATCAAGGTACACGTCAACAGATATTTATTCCTGGATATGATCTAACGATAAAGGTCAGTTTTTAGTTTTAGTTAGTGTTTTATGGCACTCGCAACAGCATAAGGTCATATGAGCGCCCGAAGATTAGAGGTGTTAGAAGAGAATAACGAACATAAAAAAAAGAAGAAGGGAAGATAAGGACGATAGATGTTTGATAGGAAAGAAAAAGGAAACCAACCAGAGCACCCGCCAGTCACCCACGAAAAAGGTCAAGGAGCCATTTTATAACGCACCCTGGCAGCAAAGGGTAAGGACACGAGGTAGACAATTATCATGAAGACTGAGGTGACCAGTGTCCGTCTGTGAGCCAGGACGGCGGGATAGCTGTCTATCAGTGTGGTCAGCAGAGTCTCGATGATGGTGAACTGTGGATATAGAAAGGGAGGCGATAAAGAGTTTTGTGAATTTCTTTGGTAAAAACGAGTATGCTCACGCACATGATTAGCACGCATGACGCACGCACACGCACACGCACACGCACACGCACACGCACGCATGCACGCACGCACGCACGCACGCACGC